AAAAAAAAAAAAAAAAAAAAAAAGATTTGATTTCTTATTGATAATTTTTAGTACAAATTTTACTGTAAACTACACTTTTAGCCATTGTCAGTGTCCAGTGAGGGGCAGCGAAGGTGGCCTCTTTCTACTAAGGCAGATTTTTCCCAAGGTGGTTTTTGCAGTTTTTATTGTGACCCTAGAGGTATGATTTGTTTTAACTTTAAAAGTTTTTGTCTATAGCAGGCTGTCATTTGCATTTTTAACCCTTTCAGATTCTATTTTGGGGTGAATAACACTAAAGGAATCGTTTGTAAAGAAAGACACACTGTGTATGTCTTGGCTACATAGGCAAATGGGGGCTGGACTCCCTCAAGGTCCCTGCCTTGCTTGGGGTTGACAAGGAGCAGGGTCTTACATGGCCCTACATGGCCCGCCACTTAACAGATACCTTGGATTGGTACAAGATAGAACTGTAATCCCAGCACTTTGGGAGGCCGAGGTGGGTGGCTCACCTGAGGTCAGTAGTTCAAGACCAGCCTGGCCAACATGGTGAAATCCCATCTCTACTAAAAATACAAAAAAATAGCCGGACATGGTGGCGGGTGCCTGTAATCCCAGCTACTTGGGAGGCTGAGGCCGGATAATCGCTTGAACCCAGGAGGCGGAGGTTGCAGTGAGCCGAGATCGCACCATTGCACTCCAGCCTGGGCGACAAGAATGAAACTCTGTCTCAAAACAACAACAACAACAACAACAAAAAAAACAGATGACAGATGAGGGCAGATTGCCTCCAGAGTCAAAATGCCCTTGTAGGTTCACTGTGATTTTTTTGCTATCTGACCGTTCTGTCTATTGTCAGAAGTGGATACCCCAGAAGAAAGCCTCACAGAGGCTGAAGTGGCAACAGAGAAGGAAGGAGAAGACAGGGACCAGCCCACCACACCTCCCAAGCCCCTAAAGACCTCCGGTGAGTTTCCGGTCCTCTCCTCCGCCCTGCCCTGCCTCCTGATTTTGGGGTCAGAAGTCTTTGGAGGACAATTAATTTAAACAAGGCATGGATTCTCAAACTTATTGCTTAAGTGCAAAATCTAGAAAAAGGATAGTTTTTATTACTGGGGTTTTTTTTTTTTTTTTAAATTATTATTTTTTCCCATGCATGTGGGAAAGGAGGAAAGAGCCAGTCATTCTTTAAAAAGTCTTCATAGGCCAGGTGCGGTGGCTCACACCTGTTATCATAGCTCTTTGGGAGGCTGGGATGGGTGGACTGCTTGAGCCCAGGAGTTCGAGACCAGCCTGGGCAACGTGGCGAAACCCCATCTCTACCAAAAAAAATACAAAAATGAGCTGGGTGTGGTGGCACGCACCTGTAGTCCCAGCTACTTGGGAGGCTGAGGTGGGAGGACTGCTCGAGTCCAGGAGGTGGAGGTTGCAGTGAGCTATGATCGCACCACTGCACTCCAGCCTGGGCGACAGAGCAAGAGCTCCCCTGCCTCAAAAAAAGTAAAAGATAAAATGTGTTCACAGCTTTCAGAAGTCATAGGTGTAAATTAAATGTTATTAATTAAGTTAGACAACCAAACTGAGTTACAGGATTTTAGAGGCTGAAGTTACCCTCTCAGGGTGGTCCAAGTGGCCGTGAGGCCTCTGTGTTAGAAACGCTTGCAGGGAGAATTTTAGGGATCCAGAGTTGTATCTGATTTTCTGCAGCTGCTGGGAGGACTGGGAATATTTTCTTCTCATGAGGATGAGATTTCTTTTTACCACTATTCCTAAGTCTCCTATGTCAGGCCAAGTGCTAGAATTCTACTAGTTTAGCACTGAGGAGTAGACAGCAGGCCTGAGATCTCAGCTCAAAGCTAGCAGAAAGGAAAAGGGTAGGTTTAGCTATATCTTCCATCTGTGGGGTCAGAATGATCTTGGAGGTTAAAAAAAAAAGTCTCAGGGTCAAAAGAGTTTGCATCACCTTCTGAGCGCTCTCAACACAGAAGCAGAGACCCCGACGGAAAGCGTTTCGGAGCCCGAGGTGGCCACGAGGCAGGAACTGCAGGAGGAGGAAGAGCAGACCAAGCCTCCCCGCAGCGCTCCCAAGACACTCAGCAGCTTCTTCAGTGAGTTTTCCTGGCTCACCCCACCTCCCGGGGTTGTCCAGGCAGGAGGCTGGTGGGCCTGTCTCCAGAGGCCTGAGATGCTGTGAGACCCTTCTCCCTTTCCTGCTGGTTGGAAAGTCAGCCTCGTCTCTACCAGCCTGTCACCCGTCTCCCCACGCACTGGGGTAGTGCTGGGTGCAGAATGGATGGGAGGTGGGGGCTACCGGAAGGAGAAAAGACCCACTGTTTTCTATCTTCATTCCTAGCGCCCCGGAAGCCAGCAATCAAAAAAGAAGTGAAGGAGGAGGAGCCAGGGGCTCCAGGAAAGGAGGGAGCTGCTGAGGGGTGAGTCAGTGTCCGGGTCTGGAAAGGGTCTTCGAGGCCTGTTTCCTTCTCTGCATTCCCACAGCCCCACCGCCAGCTCAGGCTTCCTCCTCTTGCAGGACTCGGCAAACCTTTTCTATAAAGAGCCGGGGAGTAAATATTTTAGGCTTTACGGGACACATTTGGCCCCTGTTGCAACACCATTCTTAGCTCCCAGGACCTGTAGAAACGGTCCAGGATCGGAGTTTGCTGACCATGGCCCGAGCCACCCCCTGACCCTGCCTGCAGTCTTTCATCCTCAGTCTGATCCCCGTAGAGCCTGGGGGATCTTTCTAACACCCAGAGTTGACTCTGCCCCTCTAGGGTTCCCCAGAGCCCTCAGGAGAAAATCTATGCCCATTCGACAGCTGACCCCCACCTCCCTCTCTGGCCTCACTTCCTACTTCTCTGTTCCTCTGGCTCTGAACTCACCAGATTTTTTATTTTTGAGATGGAGTCTTGCTCTGTTGCCTAGGCTACAGTGCAGTGGTGCCATCTCAGGTCACTACAACCTCCACCTCCCAGGTTCAAGCGATTCTCCTGCTTTAGCCTCCCAAGTAGCTGGGATTACAGGTGCACGCCACCACACCCAGCTAATTTTTGTATTTTTAGTAGAGACATGGTTTCACCATGTTGGTCAGGCTAGTCTTGAACTCCTAGCCTCAGGTGGTCCATCCACCTCGGCCTCGCAAAGTGCTGGGATTACAGGCGGGAGCCACTACACCTGGCCTGAACTCATCAGATTTAGTGTATGTGCTGGAAGCCAGTAGGCGCATCTCCTCTGCCTTAAAATTCCCTGAACACCCCTTCTGTGCCAGCCCTGGGCGGCCCATGGGGATGAACCATAGAGAGCCGGCCACCCCGCCCTGGCCCTGGTGATGTGCATAGTGTGCTGGGGCTGTGGGACCCTGAGTATGTTGTTAAACAATTCGTTGTTTCACTGTAATTTTGTTAATTATTTGAGGAGATGTCTGGGCTGATTCCCATGACACCTACTATGCACGCAGGAGGCCACACTGAAGACTGATTGGATGCGTGGGTGGATACATATCCTATAGTGATAATGTCACCCCCCTGCCATGCTCAAAACCCATCTGCAATTCCCCCCAGCACAGAGGATAAACGCTGGGCTTCCCAGTGCCCTCATGAGCCAGCCGTGTCCACCTTACATTGCAGCCTCCTGGCATCTGCAGCCTCCTCCTGCTCCCTCCACACACCGTGTCCCCATGTCCTGTCATTCCTCCCTGCTTTTTTTTTTGAGACGGAGTCTCACTCTGTTGCCCAGGCTGGAGTGCAGTGGCGCCATCTCAGCTCACTGCAACCTCTACTTCCTGAGTTCAAGTGATTCTTCTGCCTCCGCCTCCCAAGTAGCTGGAATTACAGGTGCCTGCCACCAAGCCTGGCTAATTTTTGTATTTTTTAGTAGAGACCAGGTTTCACCATGTTGTCCAGGCTGGTCTCAAACTCCTGATCTCAGGTGATCCAGCCGCCTCAGCCTCCCGAAGTGCTGGGATTACCGGCGTGAGTCACCGCACCCAGCCTCCGCCCTGCCTCTGAACACGCTGCCCCCGGCCTAGAACACTGTCCCCAACCCACCCTGCCCAGCAGGCTTCCCTCAGGCCCCAGCTCCCATTGCACCTGCACGTCTGATTGTTAATCAATGTGGCATTAGCACAGCACCTGGCACTTTGCGACACCCAGGACTGTACGCGCCTCCCTCTGTCGTACCCCAGCCATGCGATCCCTTTTCTGTTTCTCAAGCGTGTCTGCACCTCAGGGCCTTTGCACTCGCTATTCTCGCTGCCTGGAATGCTCTTCCCCTGCTGCCCATTGTGCTAACCCCTCCCCTCATTCTGCCCAGATGTCTCCGGCGTTCCTTGACCGCCCTGTGAAGCAGCACCTCTCATCTCTTCCTCTCCCTCTACTCAGCTTTCTTTTGTTTTCTGAAAGATTTTTTTTAACACCTAAAACTAATGATGTGCTTATACAGGGGTTTTTTTTGCCCGCTTTCCTCTGACTCTCCTGCTGGAATGTGAGCTCCAGGTTAGCAAACTTTGTTTCATCCAGCTGTGCACTGTGTGCCTTGAACAGAGCCTGGCACATCACAGTTGGAGGAATGACTTCGCTTTGACCCAGGGCTCTATGCAATTCAATCTCCCTTTTGCCTCCGTAGACCCCTGGACCCATCCGGTTACAATCCTGCCAAGAACAGCTACCATCCCGTGGAAGACGCCTGCTGGAAACCGGGCCAGAAGTGAGGTTTCTCCCTTTTCACACTGTCCCCCTGCAGTCCCTGTTGCTGCTGGAGGCTCTCTAAGCAGAGCCTTGGTTGGGAGAAATGGTCAAGTCTCTCCCTCCTGTGTTTTGGCGACAATCAGCAGCATTGAAAGGGACAGAGAGACAGCCCTGGGCAGTGAGCTCATGCATTTGGGTATTGGCAAGGGTTTCCCAGGGAGGTGTGAGGAAGCAAGGGTGCAGATGGGCAGCGTGGTATAGCCGGCACCACTGTCACTCTTGCGGCTCTGTTCCTTCCCCAGGGTCCCTTACCTGGCTGTGGCCCGGACGTTTGAGAAGATCGAGGAGGTGTCTGCCCGGTAACTAATCAGGCCTGCCTGGGTGGGGGCGGGGATGCTTCTGGCTCTGTCCTCTGCATGGCGGTCCATGCTGCCTTGTTCCGCCAAATCCTTTCAACTTGGCCTCCGACCCCATTCGGGCATATGATCGTGGATGTCAGACATGGTCACAAAAGCAGGTCCTCTTAACTTTCCGCCTCGTTCTCATGGGTCAGAGCAAGACACAAGGGTGAGCCCAGATGTGCGGCTCATTCTGCTTCCTGCCTTCACTGT